TCGTGTGTGCCACCTGCAGACGGTTGTAGCAGAACATTCCTTCTTGTATTTAAGTAAAGCTGAATAACAGTTAAGATTCTCACAGCCTCTGACGACTGCCTGATGGGTCACAAACCTACCCCCTAAGGCAGTTGTGATAATTAACCCGGATGCTAATTCTGACTCATGAACCGTTGGGATTATTTACTGTGACTTGTTGTTATTTCAGGCTTTGGTGTTGACCGCCTTTTGATTGGTGAACACTGGACAATGCAAAATTTAAAAAAACTTTTGATTTCAATTAACTTGAAATTTCCTCAGCAAACAAAGCTTTTGCCAGATAGTGGTCCATGAGATAGTTTTGTGCGGATGGGTAGTTTCAGGAGAATGCAGTATTTGTGTAACCAAATAAGTTCATGATGTTACTTGAGGGAAAGGAAAAAAATAATGTCCAAATTTGAATTCTATCTAAAACCTATTGTACCCTCCACCCTAGAAGATAGAAGATAGAGAAGAGAAAGTATTTAAAACCCAAAATGTAGGTCATAGGGAGCGTGGTGGAGGCACAATGACAACGAAGTCTGACTTCTTAGTGTTTTCACTTCGATCTGTTGCATTCATTGTTACTGCAACCCCTTTTAAATTACTGACTGTAAAAAGGAAAAAAAGACAAGGTACTCTTTTAACCCAATAAAGGCAGACAGTCTTGCTGACTCACAGCAATAACCTTCTTAAGGTGGATGCCAAGGATATTATGGGAATGATTCATTAAAGGCCAAGGTTTTTTTAGCCGGTTTTTATGCGGCTTTCAGGGCAACTTGACAGTGGGACGTTTTATCTCAATTTCAAAGTGGTCCATTTCCCTCAGACATCACCACCGCAGTCTGTTTCGAGAGCCCAGATCTGCCTTTTGGCATGCTATCCATGGGGCAATCAGCTGTTCCTATTTCCAGCACCAGTGTTTACTTTTAAATGGAAAATGTGTGTTGTTTCGTGAGGGAAATGAGCACTATTTTGGACAGACGATGTAAGCAGATTACCTCGGAGCCCAATAGAAATGAATTAGGTATAGATTGATGGCAGCCACGGCTCATTAAGAAAGTGCGTGTACATGTGTGCGCGCGCGCCTGTGTTAATGCCTGTGTGTATATGTGTGTGTTTGTAATTGATGCTCTAATTCTCAGCCACTCAGGAAATGGCCCTTGGGTGGGTCTTCCAAATGGCACACAAATATTTACTATGGACACAAACACTTTAGTAAGCACATCTAGCCAAGCTTGTGCATGAAGCGTAAGGGCAAAGAGTGATTAGGTCTCTACTGTACAGTGATATCATCCACCAACAGTCCAGTTTGTACGGGTCCTGTGGCAGTCAGCTGGAGCTGGGCTCTGGACTGCTTCGATGACTCATCAGTGCACACGTACCTTTCTGTACTTCTTCAACCTTGAGAACTCTTTGTGCTAATGGGTAGAGATGAAGTTAAAACCTGCTTCTGTGCTCTTTAGCCACCCTAGATGCTGGCCAGGAACTTGAGATTTTGGGTCCTATTTTGTGCCATTATGAAACCTTAGCATTCAGACATCACAGTCTGTGCCTCAGATTCAAATGCTTCGCGTAAGGCGGTTGTTTTCCCCAAAGGATGACCTGTGCTACTTACCACCAGAGGCCTGACTTTTCAGCATTCATGTATCACATTTCCTTTATGTGGGGTACATCTACGGGAGCTCGCACGCACACATGGGGGTGTGTACGCTTTGTATGACTTGTTTGGTCAGTGCATCCTAAGAAGTGGGTCAGAGTGCCCTAGTTCTCATTGTTTGGGCATGCGCATGTCTGTGTATTGCCTTTCAGTGTTTTTTTGTCCTGATTGACTTATCTGCAAAAAAGGGGGGGAAAAGATTGACTTATCTGCAAAAAAGGGGGGGGGGGAATTTCTTTCTGCTGCTCTCCTGCTGTTCAGAGACACGTTATTTTCTTGTTTACCTCTCTCAAGGTGAACAGGATCTTTTAATTCAAGTTTCCCTTGGTGTACTTGAATACTTATGGAGGGCCTGGAACGACTGCATTTGGTCAGATAGCTTATGTTTTGTCTTATTTAATCATGTCAGAGCATATTGAATTTACAAATAGCGGTCACACCGCATGTGTAAGTGAGCCACCCTGTTGAGTATGTGCAGCAGGGCTGGGCTACAGATTACATGATATAATAGTGTTTAGGCATCGCCTCTCCCTTTTAAATTCCTTTAACCTTGACTCCCCTTAAATGCAGGGAGAACACATCTGCCAGGCTGGTGTCAGACATTAGAAATACACACGGCTCAGGCAGCATTGTCACTTTTTATTAACGCCCAGAGCTTTGCATGGACACCAGCTGTTGCATCAAGTGGAAAAGCCTAGCGGTATGAATGACCTTGACTTTAAGTGCCACTCCGTTGGCTGTACCCCTTTTTAATTCTTTTCTTTGGTCTCATACATTTTAAATGGATTGCCATTACTGACAATGAAGGTCATTTTCAAACTCACTACTTTTTTAGTATTGAAAAAAGAAGTTTGTTGGTGATGATAGAGAGTTGATGATAGAGAGTGCTGAAACTGGAGGTCACACAGGAAAACAGGCTGAATTTTAGAATCTAATTAAAACACATTTTTATGGTCAGGATAATGATCGTGTATCTTAGGAACAGTGAACTGTGGGGACCTTCCCTGTTTATGTTGTCTCACCAGTCCAAAAAAGAAAGACATAAACGAGTTGACCAGGCAAAGCAGAGATGAGGCTTTCACCCTCCCCTTCGACTGGCCTCTTCTCTACCATGTACACAGTCAACTGCAGGGGTAAAAATCACTTTAGAATGGTGCCTGTTCTGTCATTGGCTGACATTGTCAAGGATAATGGATAATCACCACAGAAACTGTAGAGCAGCTCATTGGTGCCGTGTGTGTCCCACTGTGGGGGAGGGGGTTGAAGGTCACGCTTTTTGGGTGCCACCACCAATGAGATGACATGTTAACAGATGTGTAAGGTCGTTTTCCATGTATACTCCAGGGGAGATAATGTAATAGTAATGCACACATCAAACACTCTGGGAGGAGAAAGGAAGAGAGCCGTGTGCTCTGGGTGCTCTGTATAGAGGACAGCTTTCCCTAAAATAGGGTCACATATTTGTTAGCATAGCTCTGTCATGAAGAAGAGCAATTGTTTTTTTTTTCCCCATGGCCTTGCTTTAGTCTGAGATTTTGATGCCAGTTTTGTCATTACATATCTTTTTAGAGCCTGAAGGCGTCTTCTCTGTTAAAGAGTAATTCACACTTTGTGTAAGATGGTTCCAGGTGCTGTCATTTTGTTGTAAACTAATCTAATGTGTTGTCCCTGTGCATCCTTGTCTGCTCTCTGTTGAAGTTTCTTTAGGCAAAAACACAGACAAGGTCAACTTTAATTCCAAGGGTTTACTGCCAGCAGCAGAGAGATTAACAGAAATTCCCATGTTGAAATCGTGTCAGAGTTAGTATTTCATTTGCATTTTTACCCTCTCATCACACTTATGGGCTGTGTCACTGTTTCTAACTTACTCTGCTGCGTTACGGTAAAAGGTAAACATGTTTACCGAGCTTATTGAACCTGGTGTTACAGGGCATTCTAATATAATTGCATTAAGCTTACTGGTGGGAAAATAGTCCTAATCCTGAGTATCTAAGATTAGCATGACAGCAGACGTCAGATGGCCCAGTGTGACCAGGTTGGCTTTTGTTGCTGTCAGATTTAGGTCAAGAGCTTAAATATGGCCTTGAACTGTAATTGATGCTGATGTGCCTGTCTCAGTCAAGTTATTTTAACCTTGTCAACGCTACATAGTCTAAAAAAATCTCATCAAATAAAGAAAATTCAGTTTCAACATTTAAAGCAATGTTTGCTTTAATAAGTCTGCTGCTTATTTAGTTTTGGCCTCTGCTTCTGTTCTTTGGTGAGGTATTTAGTCTGGCAGCTGCAAAGGTCGTCATGGCCTTTGTCACAGTCAAGGGCTGCTGTCCTGTTGTGTGACCTGCTATGTTGGTCCACTCAGCGGACACTAAAGGTGAGGACAGCATTGGAAAGGACACGGACAGCAGCAGAGATGAGGTGCAAACCTTGTATTAATTAACCTTCATGGGATGCAGGCATGGCTCTTGGAGGTGTCCTGTATCCATGGAAACCACACTGACAAGGTTCAGAGCAAAGGTCTCTGAGGGCACCAGTGCTGACACTGTCATGGCAACTGGCACAGTGCTCACCCCCAGTGTCACCGGCTTTGCCCAGCTGACAGTGTTGTGGTTTGACAGGTGCACCTGATCCTAGCGTTTCTCCTCAACACACACACACACACAGTGCTTTTGTTTTTCACACTGAAACAAAGCCTACAATTTGCTTTAAGTGCAATTTAGAAACAATCATAGTAAAGAAATTACAGCTGGCCGGGTGTAAATAGGGAAATGCACTCACTAGAAAAATTTCACTGCAAGACTTAGTTCAGTTGTTTAAGAGAGACCAGAACAAGCTTGAATTCTTTTAAATGCACATGGGTAGATTTTAATTTGTGTACACAGAGCAGATATTGGAGCTAGCGGTGGGGGCTGATACTCTGATAAAATGACGAGCTGCATGGGAAATTATTTATCAATCTCATAAGGTCCTTCACTTTTGAAAGATGTCGCAAGGGGTTTACAGCTTCAGACCAGAATGTTTGCAAGGTGGTGGTCTTGAATTTTCAATTTGGTTCTAATCAAGCCTAATCTACATTTATCGTCTGTTCAACGGCTATGAAGGGAGAGTGCAGAGAGGAGAAGGAGCCGTGTGCAGTCAATTCGAAATGTTGCTAAGTAACAGAGATGGCAGACAAGGTGGTGAAATGAATGTGATATAGTGCTTTGCAGGTCCCTGCTTCTCACACCGTTTGTCTTTTTCTCTCCCTTTGCTTTCTCTTTTGTGTTGTTTCTCTGAAACCATCTCTGTGTCTGACCTCTGTCTGTTTTCTCACATATTCCCATAGGTGCCCGATGTAAGATCTGCAAAGCTGAAGGGCGCCAGTGACAGAACCACATCCAGGCCTAAGGACAGACATCCCAAACATCCACAACCACGGAATGTGTCAACATCACTGTGGTGAAATCCGCTGACTTTTCACTTACTACTCACATAAGCCTGTACCTTGGTCTTCTGGGATTCTACATTTAAAGGCATACCGTTATGCCTCCAAAACCCTATTGCCCCAGATTGCAGCCTCCAAATATGGCTGCTGTTTCTGCACGGTGATACCTGTGGCTACTGCAAAGAGGAATCACCGCATGGTCAGTAGATCTTTAGCCCCCTGCACGCGGCACCGTTGCTGGCCCCCCTTTCGTCATTAAGAAAATATATACTGCTGTCTACCAGATGACCTAGTGGACATTTGTTTTCAAGTAGCTGTGCTGAACCATACGAAAGGATCCTAGTATTGAACATGACTCATGGGGAGGAGCCTGGCCCTGAGACACACAAGGATTCAGCTGTTCTAACTTATCTGGAAGGTTTACTGATGCATCCAGTGGTGGCCGGGCCTGGGGCCACGGCAAGTGGGCGATCAGAAGCTGCCCACAGTAATCAGGAGCAGGGTGACAAAGTGGGAAGGCCCTACCAACTGCCTAGCCATGTCCCCACAGCTCCTAAAACTGGAACAAATGGACCCACATTAGGCTCATCACAGCACCTTAAGAAAGCCCGTCTTCTTCGCTCTGGAGCATGGAATGAACCAGGGAAACAAAGAACAACTTCACCACCAGTAGAACTGAACGGCCAAGGGGTAGGACGGCAAAATGGGGCACTCGAGGGGTCTCCTCATGCTGGAGAAAGCACTTTATTGGCTTCGCTGCTTCAGTCATTCAGCTCACGGCTTCAAAGTGTTGCGATGTCTCAGCACAGTAACAAGCCCCCCAGTGAGTGTTCCTCTCCATCCAACGTACCACCTGTAGACAAAAAAACACTTCCTGTGTATGGGACAGCTACAAGCCGCTTGAAAGGTCTGGTCAAAAAGGGCAAAATTCAGAATCACAGTAACACACCATACAGTCGACACAATCAAGACAGACCCCCAGAATCACCACGTTCTATCCACAGCACCACGCCCCCTTCTGCACCTACAACTGCTGAATCAGTGTCCTGTGCAGAGCGTTTGAAAGCAGTTGCAAACATGGTAAAAATAAGATCAAGTCCAGCACCATCACCCAAGCCCAGTGTAGCCTGCAGTCAACTGGCATTGCTGCTTTCTAGTGAAGCCCATCTTCAGCAGTACTCTAGAGAACATGCAATCAAAGCCCAATTATCTGGAAGATCTGCCAGTGAAAGACTAGCTGCCATGGCGAACCAGCAACATGGCAAGGACACAATACCACCGAGTGTCGGGGGGGCTCTGCCGGGAGCTGTAGAAACACTAAGCTCCATAACGACACAAAATGGAATGTCGACAACTAACACAACAGCAACAACACTGTCTCGAACAGCAGTGTCCAGTCCACAGAGCCCTTCTTTGCTAAGTGGTCATAGCCAAAGCTCTGTAGCCACTCCTCCACATGCTACGAGCATCACGCACAGCCAACCACCTAGAGAGAAGCGAGGGTTTGACTCACGTCCAACACGTCCCCCGCAGACATGCAGCAGTTTACTGCTTCTCTTACTCAACAACCATAACAACCAGAAGCAGCTGACTAAGAATGGACACCTCGAGGATAGCTGTGGTCTTCTGCCCCCAAGCAGGTCCTCGTCAGTCACATCAGATAGCGAGTGCTCCACTCAGGAAAGGTTCCTGACCAAGGACAGCAGTGACGCAGAGAGTTCCTACTCTAGTTGCTCTCCAATTGACCTATCCACAAGAAACCGAGCCAACATGCAAGATACCATGCCCAAAATTGCAACCCCCTCTTCCTCCTCCCCTTTCACTTCTACCCTCTCTTCATCAACAGCAGTCTCTACATCAACCCCACTTGCATTCTCTCCTCAGATTTCAGCTCAACTTTCCAACTCAACTTTTTCACCTCCCCCTACCATTGTCTCTTCTGCCTCCAAAGGTGCAACTTCATCTTCCTCTTTCTCTACCTCCTCTTTGGACAAATTAACAGAGTCTCTAATAAATAAATGGAAGCCAGAGGCATCAGGATCAAATTTATCCAAGGAGTCTGAAATGAGCCTTGACCCAAAATCCCATCCTAAGGTCACACTCATGCAGCTTCTACTAGAGCGCAGAAATAATGAGATGGGTAACAAAGGGGCATGTAACCAGGATTCACCTCTTGATATAACTATGGCCACAATGTCTCGAAGCCAACCCAAGGCACTAGTCTCTTGGCAGGAGGCCAGAACAGCAAGTCCCAATGAGAGACCTGTGGCACCAGACAAGTCTCTCTACTCCCTTAATCGAGATGCTGGTGGAACACTTTCTCCATATTCATACCCTTCTCCCAATGTCCAGTCAAGTCCTTTGGACTTGTGTAAATCAAAAACATTTGCTGCTGAGAAAACCACTGAGCCTGCCTTTAGTGCCAGTAAACTTTTGCAGAATTTAGCTCAGTGTGGCCCAGCTTCTTCCTCTCCTCCTGTTCCCTCCAGCCATGGTCCAGATCTTGACACCGGTAGGCCTCTTGCTCTGTTGGAAAGGCTCAATGCGCCAATTAACAGGAACACCACCACGCCACTCTCTGACAAACCCTCAGGCAGCGGTACCCCTTTTATTCAAAAGGAATCTTCTCCTCCTTCACAGATTGAGAACCTTTTAGAGAGACGCACCGTGCTGCAGCTCCTACTCGGAACAGGCCCGGCTAATGCCACAACCAACCGCAAAGATAGGCCCAGTGGAAGGAGAAGTGTGGAGGTGGCTGGCACAGCTTATGTGAAGAGCACTGCCACTTCTGTCATCTGTGACACCTCCAATGGGCCTCCTTCAGATGTAAAGGTCAAAACAGAGATCACAGAGGAAGCTGTCCCATCATCTGCTGTGTATGAGGATCTGTGTAGCAAAAAAAGGCCTATGGGCTATGAAAAGAGTAGCCCTCTCTCTGCAGATTTTCATCCAGACCTAAAAACAGAACCAAGGCCTGCAGAGGTCATTGCAAAATATGGCCTTCTCAGCCAGTTGCTCAAACAAAAGACTGCTACCTATTATACCAATGTTGCTATGGTTAAGGAGGAACAAAAGGAATATCAAAGCCCACGTCATAAGAAGCGCCGTCTATGCTCTGATCGGACTGATAGTCTTAATAGCACTGGCTGTCCGAGAGAAATGGACAGTGCCAGTACAAACATTTTTCCGTCTCCTGCTGTTCAGGACAGGTCGGATCTGCAGAGGAGTTTGAAGGAGGAAGAGGCTCCCGCTAAGAGCCCTCAGAGTGAAACGCTTAACCGGGAGAGTCGGGGCTTTAATGTGCTTAAACAACTGTTGCTGTCTGACAACTGCCTAAAGGAGTTGTCCCAGCAGCCAAGGGGTGCACCCAGTCCTTCCATTCTACAGACCAATGGCAAGGCCAATGGCAGCATTCTCAGTCAGCCTGCTCATAACCACAGCTTTGCCCACCTACCAGGGTGGAACACCCATGGCTCCTTCAACTCAGGGCTTCAGAGTAATCTAAGACCACTGCCCAATGTCCCTGCAAGTGAAAGCCCTATTCCCACCCCATGGAGCCGCAACCCATCTCCATGGCCTGCCACCCACAACAAACGAGAGCCTCCTACTCTAGTCAAACAGGAGCCAGAGAGTCCCGTGCGATGGGGTAGTCAAGGGAATGAGGAAGAAGAGGAGGGGTGTGACTCCAACCTGGACTCTCCCAGGCTGTCACGTTCCAACCCTATCTTGTATTACATGTTGCAGAAAGGCAGTATTCAGCTGAGGAAAGAGATGCGGGATCAGGCTGAGGGCCCACAGTCTGCGGTCATGGTAAAGGAGGAGCCAATCGGTGACATGCATGCCTATGAACACAGTATGAGCTCCACCCCCAAGTCCCCGACCCACAGTGACAAGCACAGCAAGGAGAGCAGGGAGCTGAGCTAATCATTTTGAATAGAAGTTGTATCAACTACAGAAAACAAGTGGAGGAAAATGACTTTTTTTAAAAAATAATTTGCCAAATTGGTTTTAATGAAAAGAATAACATAGAATGCAAAAGTGTAAAAAGCTTTGTTTTAGCAAAAAATGTCTAATTAATACAACCAAAACTACACATTTGTCTGAAGTTTAACCTTTACTGTCGGTGATCATCATGCACTACATGTCATTATGTCAGATACAAAGTCCTCTTTCACAATTTGCCCATATTTCCACAGAATAGACACTAGTACTGATTATGTTTTCTTTGATTCCTGCCCTGAAATATTTTGAGAACATTGCAATTTGTATTGTTAATGACTCCTGAATGTCCTAACTCAGTTTATTGGACAGTTTATAAAGTCTATTCTCTCCGAATTTTCTAAAAGAGTGCCCAATCATTTTTTGACAATTTTCCAAGTCAACTAATCCAGTGTGACATTTTCATTTAGAGGAGGACATTGTAAATATTCACACAACAAAAGCTTGAGTGAATAACCTGCCATGACAGAGAAGAGGGAACGTGCTTGTTATGCTTTTTCAAAATGGCTCATGTTGGTTTTGATCTTATTAATGAAGTGATGTTACATCACTATAGATTTTCAATGGTCACTTCTTATTGTTTTTTTTGTTTTTTTTTTTTTTGTTTGTTTGGATGGTTTTTTATTTTTGCTTTAATGGCATTGAACCTTTCTGGCCAACATTCAGCAGTGCTAATTCATTGCAGTGATGTTTTTTTGCTGTTCCAAACAGATGGGTCAATAGACCATGTGTGGTGCTTTCAGTTGAGCAACTGCGTGTAAACAGGTTTCTAGAACAGCAGTTAAAAGGTTGCAGTGTCTGAGAAACTTATCTCACCATCCTGGGTAAACCCACACCACAGACCTTTTTTTCCATGCACAGAAAAACTTTTGAGTGTGAAGCACATAGCTTTTTACTTTTCATTTAACCCAGAGTTTGCACTATTGGAGCTTAGTTCTGTCCTTTTCAGAGTAACTCAAATGGCATGTTATAACAAATGTCTGTTATCTGTTTAGAATTTTGCCGTTTGTAATTTTTGTTTTGTCATTTCTTAACTGTCGTGGTCGGTGAACATATATATATATTTTTTTTTATTTGGTGGCTCTCTCTATCTCTTTATCATAATGTGTCAAAAGAATTGCATGATAACTAAATAAAGACCACAGGTACCATCTTCATTTTCATTTTTCAAAGCAGCTAGATGTGTGTTCATGCCCCAAACAATCAGCGAGACATGCCCATGTCTTGAGCAACTTCTGGTATTTAGCTCCTTATTTTGATTGTATTGTACTATTTTCGGTCACTTTCACACACACACACACACACACACACACCACTCGACCCATCTATTCCTGTGATCTTTTAATTACATATACATATGACGTATGTCTCTCCACTCTTATTAATACATTTTCACAACGGTTAAACATATTTGTGTAAATAGTACTTTCAGTATGAAAGATGACTATTTTGTAATGTTTAAAAAAAAAGAAGATATTACCCTAGTTTTTAATGCCCTGATGTGTAAATATGAATTATACGCATACAAGTGTACATACAAAGGCAGAGAATGCTATGCCCATCTTTTCGGTTGGTTTGTTCTTTGCATGTGTCTCTATGTGGTAAATGATAATCTATCCCGCGCTGTGTTGTGTAATGTCTGACTCCTCACTGCTGCCTGTTGCATGCAGAAGCATGGGAACTACCTGTGTATCCCTAATGGTGATGGGAGGTAATGTCAAGTCTTAAAATAGGTCTTTTTTATCACAGACAGGTTCAAGAATATGATACGTCCCTAAATAACTACAGACTGTGGAGCAAGTTGATTAAAAAAAAAAGTGAGAAAAAAATAAACGTGCATTTAATATTTTTGTGAATTTTCTTTTCCTTTTTCTGTTACTGGTTTAACACTGCTCTGTGAAAGAGCTTCTGTGAAAGAGCTTGAGTTGGGGGGGGGGGTGGGGGGGGGGGGGGGGGGGGTGGGGGGGGGGGGGGGGGGTGGGGGGGGGGGGGGGTGGGGGGGGGGGGGGGGGGTGGGGGGGGGGGGGGGTGGGGGGGGGGGTGTGTTGACGTACAATCATAGATCTGCATTGTGCATCCAAGAAAGACGTTTGTAGCAGCAAATATAAAGAAAAAAAAAGATTTTTCATTTGTTTTATTTTTCATGTGAAAACCTGAAATTATTTCTTCTTTTTTAAGTTTTCATTTTTGGTGTTTATTTGCACTGATATCTCAAGAATAAAGTACTAAAATGCATGACCTAGTATGAGTGTCTTCCTCCTTTTCTAATACACAATTCATGAGAACTTCTGTGTTGGGTATTTAAATAGAATGTAGAGAACAAGAAGCTCCCTTTTAAAATCATTGAAAAAAAACCTATGGGGCATGGACCATGTATGCCAACAGCTGTGGCTCTCAGCAGGGCAGCTAGACCTGTTAGCCGGGGCAGAGGGCTTGTTTCTCAGACATGAGGAGATAATTCATCTCTTTATAGGGAAAGGCTAAGCCCACATTTAAATTTGTTCTCAAACAAATTAATTTAATGCTCCACCATGTCCTAAGAAAAAAACAAAACATGCATATTTATCTGTATATCATAATCACATGTGTGTTTATATATGTATACATAGTGAATATATACAGTATGTATGTATGTGTATATAAAGCCAGGTATAAATTTGTATATACTCTCTATATATAAAAACGGGTATATTAAGGTAAATAGAAATGAATATTTTAAAGAAAAAAAAGTAGATTTCCCCTGAACTGTTGAAATAAAACTGAGCAGCCGGAGTGACACATGCCGTTGGTCAAAACTGATATTATAGCTGCAATTAACTAAATTTCGTTAGCATTTAGTCCTGCAGAAACGCAGATAAATTGAGTCTGTATGTCTGAATTTTCCTACAAAACTTAATTTCCATTTAAAAATCCATGCACAGTGAGTGACTTTCACCTATATCTATGCATTTCTCGTTTCTTTTTGTCAAATGCACCTTAAATATTAATCCAGTCAACAGACAAACTTGAAAAAAACAAAACTTTCTAGTTGTAAAAGGACATCAAAGACAGTTCCACGTCTGTGGAATCAAAGAGTTTCATTAAAGTGACAGGATGTCCTGTATTTGGCTCCAAACATTGGCTTCTGATCCGACTGCTCTTCACTGCAGTGTTGAGTTGTAACAAAGACAGGAAAGACACAGAAGACGGGAGGACACGGTAAGGTCACCAGCTGTACACGGAATGTCGAAGGATGTGCTTTACAAATGAAACGCATATCTTCTATTTGCAGCCTGCAATAGATCTGATTGTACAGTCAATATAAAACCCATAATCTCGTGTTCAATCCACAAAAGCTGTTTGATACGTGATCGTTTTCCCAAATTCAGTAAGACAGCTCTGCAGCGTAGCATGAGGTTCCCTGAAGGTGAAGAGGAGTTCATGCTAAACTTCCCCGGCACTGTGTTTAAATATGAGGTCCAGTGGGTGAACAGACGACTTTTTGTCTGAACTGCGCTGTGTAGTTTCTCAGCCCTGACTTCCCTTTTTATTTAATCCTCCTCATGACTGACTGCGCTCTCTTTAAACTCCCAGTAACCTTTCCCCTCTGCGAACTTCTCCATTTCCAGATTCTTATCAAGGATGAACCGCCAGTAACCTCTTGATTCCCTCTGATTGCTGAAGCAGCGGCAAACATGAAGGAGGGAGCAGCGAGTTTGAGTCGAGGTCAAGGTGTAAGACTGACAATCGGCCGTTTGTCTGCGACTCCGCTCCTTAATTTCCTGACCTCAGCATGAGACTAAAAGGATGTGAGCGCTGCACACCAGGCCGCCAATGACTCAAGGACCAACAAATCCCACAACAGGCATTTCATAGTTAAGAGGCCTCTAAAAACCATTTCCTGGAGTTACAGGCACTCATTCTCCAAAAAACAGAGTAATGATGGCACTTAACATGCCCACTCACAGGCGCGTCTGCCTGGGAAACTGTTCTGAACAGCCGCTCCTCTTGAGCCCAGGTCCTGGTGTTAATGAGTTACTTTCATGTTTACTCACATGGAGAACATACTGAGCTAACACTTGTCACTTGTTGTGTGTGTGTGTTGTTAAAAATGCACCCATGTGTTTGATTGGCTTTCTCCTCATGCAAGTGTTTACACTTCAGAACATAGGCTGACCTTGTATACAGTAGAGAAGTCTGGTATGGGCCACATGGACGTGTTACAGTGCTGCCGCGTCACTGTCAGTTTTTTTGTCATAAAACTTCAAATTCATATTGATAATTTACTATATATATGAATGTATATATACAGTATATAGTAATAATCATAATTCATTTTATATGTCAATACTATATCTTGGCATATTTGTTATTATGTGATATATAAATGTATTACTTTGTTAAAAAGGACAACACATTGACTTGCGTATATATATAAATATTTGTAGTATTAGTTCTAAAAGCTAGTACAAATTTATTTATATCCTTTATTGTAGTTTGTTCAATTCCTTATAGAAGTCTCCTTTAGTTTTTAATGTATAACTCTGTATAATGTAGTGTTCACAGTGTTTATATTACAATGTTCATTTTTTCTTATTTTTACATTCTTTTTTTTTTTACTTTTTAATGTATTTAATCATAAATATTTCTTTTGTCACTACCATGTTTATTTTTGCGGAGGGTTGTGGGGGGGTACTACTTGGCCCATAGCCGTATTCTCCGTAGGACCGCCACTGCTCATATGAACTGTGAAAGCACACACACACACAATGTAATTATATTTTTATAGGTCACATGAGCCTATTTGGAGTGTGAGATAAAATACATGAATTACACGGCGCAGCATCAGTCTGGTTCTTTCGAAGACACCAGTGGAAACCTGTCTGCACTGTGTCGTAGGTTAATGCTGCAGCCTCCACTCTGCTGAGTGTGAAACAAATGTGAGTAGTGCCTCGATTCAGACAACAGAAAAAGAGGTTAAAGCAAACACCTGGGGGAAACTCCTGCCTCGGAGAAAGGAGGTCAAGCCGGTTTATTTTCTC